CATTCTGCCATTGACTGGATGTTGCTTGGCTTTAATGTAGGTATTTCTATCCTACTCGCACCTCGTACTTGGGAAACAAGCCTAGACTTTGAAGCTCGCCATATACAACCCATTTGCTTGAAAACACAAGCTTTTTGCCAATCTTCAGTTAAATTGAACCTTCCCTGAAATAGTTTGAAACTTAAAAACATAAGTTTCGTTATCATATATATAACAAGGATATCTAGGGCAGATAGAGTACATGAATCTCCTCCCACAGAACGTAGCTAGTTTTTTCATCGAGATGCCTCCAATCATCCAGTAGAACAGGAACATGCTCTCTCACTAGAGGTCCAAGAAAGGATGATAGAGTTACAGATCCTTTGCCAACATGTTCACCCAAAGATGTGAACTCAACTTCAACCTTTTCATCTGGCTGTTTAGCAAATCCACGCATCTTAGTTAGACCTCTAGTCCGCTTTTTCGTGACTGTATCTTCAGTTTGAGCTTCTCCAGTTGATGGCTGTGTACTCTCTTCCTGAGGATGTGTACTCTCTTCCTGAGGATGCATGCACTCTTCCTGAGGATGCGTACTCTCTTCCTGAGGATGAGTACTCTCTTCCTAAGGCTGTGTACTCTCTTCCTGCTGATGCGTATTCTCTTCCTGAGTTTCTCCATTGTACTGCAATGTTATATCCTCTACAGAATCATCAGTGTCTTCCATATCAGCTTCTCTATTCTCTTCAGCTTCCTTGCAAGGCCGTTTTTTAGCCTGAGTAGCATTTTGCTTTTTTCTTATCAGCGCTGCAGGGGTTGGGGGAATGCCTGCTTGACGTCGATTGCGTCTAGTAGTTTTTGTAACTCCTTGCTTTGCCATTTTAGCAAACCTGAAACACAACCAAGAATATGTGAACTACTAACCAGTAGGAGAAAATTACTTCATCAACTATTCCACTACTAAGACTGCTTCACAGTCATCTCTAACACAAAAACTTTCATCATCAGAGGACTGATTCCCATAATCTTCAATTTCTGGAATAGTCAAAGTAGCGGCAACAAACTCCTCCTCTGACTCAAGCTCATGATACCCTCTAGGTGGCGCCCTCATAACAACAGACCAAGGTGATGAATCATCTTCTTTAGCATAGAAGATTTGCTTTGCTTGGGATGCCATAATATATGGATCTTGAATATACGGAGACTGGTTCACTTGGAAGTTCACCAGTGTAAATCCTTGCTCTTCTTTCACACCGTGGCCTTTGTTCGCCCACTTACACTTGAAGAGTGGAATCTGAAACATATGGTAGTCGAGGAGTATTATCTCTTCAATAACTCCGTAGAATGCTACCATGTCCGCCTTATGTGCAGCATCTCTGGCACTGGATCTACACATGCTGAAGGCTTCATACATAACA